TAGTGCCGTCCACCCTTCACCAATGCCTAAAATTTTACCGAGAAGGGGTGAAGGTGATCCAAGGTGATACCAAGCCATTCACCGAAGCCGAATCACACTTTGCAGACGCCAAGTTCTACATGGATGAAGACATGGTACCCGAAGCCCTGCCGGAAGATATCAGATCCACGGGCAAAGCAGCGCCTACAAAGCAGGAGTGGCAAGTCATCCCTAAAATGCAAAAAGAGCAGACTGTGCCATCTTCAAGCAAAGACGATGACGAGTTTGCTAAACCTGCAACAACCAAAGGGAGTAGGACGCCGTCAGAAGGACCGAACGCACCCATATTTCGATATATCCCAATGTCAAGAAGAAAGAATGGTCAATCTCCATTCGAAACTGAAACAAGAAAAGCCGACACACAGTGGCACGCGAATAATGTGAAGTTGCTCAAGACAAATGCAGTTTTACCTTTGACACAGCTAGGGGGTGCTAAGGTCGCAAGACTACCACAAGGCTTCATAAAAGCTCTACCAAAGAAGGTGGAATCAAGCTTTCTTCCAACCAAAAGGACCGAGGAAGGTTTCGACCCTAACGCCTACAAACTCATGTCAAAGGCCGGGTACGACTTCACTTCTTCTGTGGTGGCTGGAAAGAAGGTTTCAAATACCGTCAATGACGAAGAACGTAACCTTACCAAAACTCAAAAGAAGTTGAAGGAGCATGGTTACGGAGTTGACAACAACAAAGCCGGACTTGGTTTCACACCAAATGCACCTGTGATGATTTCAAACAAAGCGAAAAACACTAGCGCTCAACACATCAGCGTGAGCATTGAACAAGACCAAGAAGAGCCTAAACCCTCCCCTCGGACGTCGGTCTTCGATAGGATGAGCCATTCAAGCTCCAGAACGTCAGTGTTTAATCGCATTGGTGGTCAAGACCAAACCTCTGTCTTCAAGAGGCTTAACGCGCCAACATCCCAAAACTCTGTTTTTGAACGGTTGTTAAAGCTTAAGAAACAAAGCAGCACAGTTATCTCTCCTCTGCGACGATCAGCTTCAGAAAAATTTGAAGATAATGAGAAGCCTTTTGGAAAGAGGAAAACAACACCAAAGGAAGAAAAGCTCGATGGGTTAGGAGAAAAAGATGACGTTCGAAGCTTGATTCCTTCAAGGATGAAGCGCCAAGCAATCTTGGAGGTCGACACAAAGGGACCACTGAAAGTGAGAAGGCGTACTATCATCCACACCAGACAATCCTTATGCCAACAAGCTCAAGAAGACAGCACTGAAGAGGAGATCCAAGATGTTTTCCACATCACGGTTCAAGAAGGTCAAGAAGACGAAATCCCCGAGGAAGATATCACTGCTGCACCACCACAGCTCGAAGATGGGGGGCAAGCCACAGTGGATGATCTCAAGGAACTCAACTTAGGTACAAGCAAGGAACCAAAGCCTATCTTCATAAGTGCATTATTAAGTACAGATGAGATAGAGAAGTATTATCAGCTGTTGTTAGAATACAAAGACGTCTTTGCCTGGACCTACAAAGAAATGCCCGGCCTGGACCCTATCATCGCTGTTCATCATCTTGCGGTCAGACCTGGAACACGACCGATAAAGCAAACTCAAAGACGCTATCGATCTGAGCTTATCCCACAAATCGAGGTCGAGATCGACAAGCTTATCGAAGCAGGCTTTATTCGAGAAGTGCAATACCCCAAGTGGATCTCCAACATCGTCATTGTCCTTAAGAAATCAGGACAAATACGTGTTTGCGTAGACTTCCGGGACCTCAACGATGCTTGCCCAAAGGACGACTTCCCCTTGCCAATCATTGAAATCATGGTGGATGCAACCACTGGCCATGAGGCATTATCATTCATGGATGGTTCTTCTGGGTACAATCAAATTCGCATGGCCCTCGAAGACGAGGAGCTAACAGCCTTTCGTACTCCAAAAGGTATCTATTGCTACAAGGTGATGCCCTTTGGCCTAAAGAACGCTGGAGCTACGTATCAACGCGCAATGCAGAAAATCTTCAATGACATGCTACACAAGAACGTAGAATGTTACGTAGATGATGTGGTGGTTAAGACGAAGAAAAGATCAGACCACTTAAAGGATCTGCGAATAGTGTTCGAAAGGCTGCGAAAATACAACCTCAAGATGAACCCGTTAAAGTGTGCATTTGGCGTCACCTCTGGAAAATTCCTCGGCTTCATCGTCAAGCACCGTGGTATTGAAGTAGACCAATCAAAGATCAAGGCCATTCAAAGCATGCCCGAGCCAAGAAACCTGCACGAGCTGAAAAGTCTACAAGGACGGCTAGCCTTCATTAGACGCTTCATCTCCAACCTCGCAGGGCGTTGTCAACCGTTCAGTCGCCTTATGAAGAAAGATGTCCCATTCGTATGGGACAAAGCGTGCCATAATGCTTTTGAAAGCATAAAGAAATATTTGTCAAGTCCACCTGTCCTGGGGGCACCTGTGCCCGGGAAACCACTCATATTGTATATTGATGCTCAGGAAAATTCAATCGGAGCACTCTTGGCGCAAGAGAATGAATCCCAAAAAGAAGGAGCACTGTACTACCTCAGTTGGACTCTCACCGGCGCTGAGTTGAACTATTCCCCAATAGAAAAGATGTGCCTCGCTTTGGTGTTTGCCATTCAGAAACTCAGACATTACATGCATGCTTACACCATCCACTTGGTTGCTAAAGCCGACCCTGTCAAATACGTTATGTCTAAGCCAGTCTTGACGGGGCGACTCGCTAAATGGGCTTTGCTTCTTAATCAATATGAGATCATCTACATCTCAGCTAAAGCCGTCAAGGGACAAGCGCTAGCAGACTTCCTTGCCAATCATCCAATCCCGGCTGATTGGAAAATCTCAGACGACTTGCCTGATGAAGAGGTGTTCTACATCAATATTTTTCCGACATGGACGATGTTCTTCGATGGATCCGCACGAGCAGACGGAGCGGGGGCAGGAGTAGTATTCATGACGCCACAAAGGCAAATACTACCTTACTCCTTCCAACTGAATGAGCTATGCTCCAACAATGTTGCTGAGTACCAAGCATTGATAATCGGGCTCCAAATGGCGATCAACATGGAAATCACAGCTCTTGAGGTGTATGGCGATTCCAAGCTCATAATCAATCAACTCTTAACTGAATATGAAGTGAAGAAAGATGATCTCGTCCCATACTTCCGGCTAGCGACCCAACTGCTACGAAAGTTCGAAGCTGTGACGCTGGAACATGTGCCAAGAAAGGAAAATCAAATGGCAGACGCTCTCGCCAATCTAGCCTCGAGTATGACACTAGGAAAAGATGAAGTAGCAGACGTGCCAGTTTGCCAAAGGTGGGTAATTCCGCTCGTTAATGAAATGTCACTAGATGATACAAATGTCATCTCAGTACTTTCAGTCGATGCTGAAGAGTGGAGACAGCCGCTGATCGACTACTTAGAGCACGGAAAGCTTCCAGATGATCTTAGACATCGTTCCGAAATACGTCGACGAGCACCTCGCTTCCTTTACTACAAAGGAACACTCTACCGACGCTCTTTTGAAGGAGTACTCCTGAGATGCCTAGGTGAGGAAGAAGTTAACCAAGCCATGGAAGAAGCACATTCAGGTGTGTGTGGGGCACATCAGTCTGGACCAAAGCTACATTTCCGGCTTAAAAGAATGGGTTACTACTGGCCAAGTATGGTGAAGGACTGCCTGGAACACGCCAAAAGGTGCCAAGCCTGCCAGTTCCACGCCAACTTCATACATCAACCGCCTGAACCATTACACCCTACAGTTGCTTCATGGCCGTTCGACGCATGGGGATTGGACGTTGTAGGACCAATTACGCCAAAGTCATCTGCAGGGGAAGCTTACATCCTAGCTGCAACAGATTACTTCTCCAAGTGGGCTGAAGCCATACCTTTAAGGGAAGTAAAAAAGGAAACTGTTGTTCGTTTCATCAAGGAGCATATCATCCACCGATATGGGGTGCCTCGCTACATTATCACTGACAACGGAAAGCAGTTCTCCAACCGACTCGTGGACGAGCTTTGCGACAAATACAAGTTCAAGCAGCACAAGTCTTCCATGTATCATGCTCCGGCCAACGGCCTGGCAGAGGCATTCAACAAGACGTTGTGCAACCTCCTGAAAAAGGTAATCGGCCGAACAAAGAGAGACTGGCATGAAAGAATAAGTGAAGCACTTTGGGCATATAGGACTACACATAGGACTCCTACCCAAGCTACACCTTATTCTCTTGTATATGGCGTAGAAGCTGTTCTACCGCTCGAAAGTCAAATCCCCTCACTAAGGATGGCTATACAAGAAGGCTTGACTGATGAAGAAAATGCAAAGTTGCGCCTTCAGGAGTTGGAAGCACTGGATGAGAGAAGGCTCGAAGCTCAACAACACTTAGAATGCTACCAAGCACGGTTATCCAAGGCATTCAACAAGAAAATCCGCCCAAGGTCTTTCCAAGCCGGAGATCTCGTGCTGGCATTGCGTAGGCCTATCATTACAACTCATAAGACAAAAAGCAAGTTCACATCAAAGTGGGATGGACCCTACGTGATACAAGAGATCTACACCAATGGTGCCTACTTAATCATGGCAGAAGACGGGTTGAAGATCGGCCCCATCAACGGCAGATTTTTGAAGCGCTACTACCCCTAAAGCAAACGCACCACGCTCCTGGCCCGCAAGAGCATAAACTGTGTACGGCAAAATCATCATCAAAATCATCATCAAAATCATCATCAAAACCATCACTCATTTGAACTACGTTATGACTTGATCTCTTCTTTGGAAGAGTACGTAGGCAACTTGAAACTTCAAAACTTCAAGTACAGTCACATCAAAATAAATAAATAAATGTTTCATATTATTACGTTCTTTGTACAAAAAAAATTACATGTTGTTGGTTTCAAAAAAAAAAAACAAAAAAACAAAAAAAAAAAAAAAAAAAAAAAAAAAAAAAAAAAAAACAAAAAAAAAAAAACAAAAAAAAAAAAACAAAAAAAAAAAACAAAAAACAAAAAAAAAATAAAAATAAAAAGGAGGCCGGCTCCAAAACTTTCTACTCCTCTTTCCAAAGCCAGCGAGCCCAGCTACAAATCCGGGCCCAGCTCTCAAAGCCCATCGTTACTCGGCTCCAAGACACCCATCACTCAAATCAACCTCCTCTCCTTCCCTAAACCAAAAATCACAGAGTCCCTCTCAGATCTCCAGATCCAATCCTTCGCCGACATTCGAATTCCCAACAACAACCACCATCAATGACCTGCCGGAGCCCATACTCTCTTCGCAGTCACCTATCACCCTCCCCTGCCCATCGCCGACGCAGCCGCCTCGCACAGTCCTCGCTGCAGCCTGCTCACCAGACCCAGAAGCTATCCGTCCCCGCCGCCTTTCCCAAAGAGAAGTCCGAGTGGGTCATGTCCGGGTCTCCCCAGTCGACTCTGAGCGGAATCAGGAGCTGGTCCAGCAACGGAAGCCATGTCCTCCTCTCTCTCCCCTCTCGCTTCTCTCTCTCCCAGCACAGAGAAGAGAACACAACAAAACAAAAAAGAATCAAGCCAAACCAGCTTTTTCCCATCTCAGAATTAAACCACCGAATTTAGGACCAACCCAGTGAGAATTGAGTCAAACGGGGAGGACCCAAGTCAGCAGAAATGGCGTTAGGCGGTCAATCGTCGGGCACCAGCAATATCAAAGCTCACCACAACACGGAGTCGATGACGATCCAGAACCCGACCCAGACCTGCCACCTTGACCTCTCCGCTGAGCTCTTCGGCGGCGTCAGCCAAGCATGCGGCCGAAACCTCGACCGGAGCCGATGCTGCCCCGTTCTAGCCGCCTGGCTCTTCGCCGCCCACGCCAGATCAGCCCTTGAGCTCCCCTCCTCGGCTCCGGATCCGTCGGCGGTGCCCGACCAACCGATGATGCCGGACGACTCGCAGAAGTGCGTCAACTCGCTGCAGTCTTCGCTCGTCAGCCGGAACATCCGGATTCCTCAACCCAACGCCAGCTGCGACGCCGTTCTGTGCTTCTGCGGAATCCGGCTCCACCAGATCGGATCGCTCAGCTGCCCCGCCTTCCCAACCCGGAACCGGCACCATCCCAGCCAATTTCTCAACCTTGAACATCTCCCTGCGCAGCAGTGGGTCAAGTCTCTCCGCTTCGCCTTCCAAGTCCGCCCCTCACTCCTTTCACGGCGCCTTGGCTCTCGCCCACCACCCTCACTACGACGAGAGTTTTGCCCATTCGGGTCTGATGGGGTTTCACCAGTCACCATCTCCACCACCAGTCACCATCTCCACGCCAGAAAAGCTGCAAACCCAGCTCCAGCAACTGGACTTGCCGCAGATTGCTGTGATTCACCAACCTTCTCCGCAGCTCCCCTGCAAGACCTCTTCGTCCCGTCGTCGGCGTCTGTTGCTGTTGTATAGACTGGGAGAATCGAATGAGGTGCGTCTACAACTGCGGATCCAGGGAGCTCTCTGTCCATGCTCGTCTTCTTCATCTCCACCAATGGAGACATTTGCAGCACTACAAAAAAAAAAAAAAAAAAAAAACACAACGGAGATCTCACCAAAACGCAGCGACAAATCCACCAAGCCCCGAACCGTCTCCGTCTTCTTCCTCTCCATCCATGCAGTTCCTCGCCTGCAAGGACCTCGAGCTCGTCATTCTGGCCACCTTGATCAAAATCAACGAAGAGCTTCATTGACCGCTGTCAAACGACTAGCCGGTCTTCAAACTCGACGCTTTGCACTACTTCAAGCTCTGGTCTGCACCTCCGCCATGGCTGCTGCCTTTGAATGTGATCAACAAAATCAAAGTTTGTCAACTCACACCCAAAGATCTCGTCCGTCTGCTTGCCTCTGCTGCTGCCTTTGAATGTGATCAACAAAATCAATGTTTGTTAACTCACACCCAAAGATCTCCTCCGTCTTCTCTCGGACTCGGCCTGGGTTTTCACCCACGAACTCAGCCTTGCAGATGGCCTTATAAAGAAAAAAAAAAAAAAAAAAAAAAGTAGCAATGATTATGCCGGGAAGCATATTTCAAAAGAATAATAAAAAAAAAGCAGCAATGATGATGCTGGAAGCATCTTTCAAAAGAATAATAAAAAAAAAAAGAAAAATATATATATATATATGTATAATAAAAACAATGATTGTGTTTCTGGAACCATGTGAAAAAAAAAATATATATATATATATATATATATATATAATAAAAAGAAAGGAAAAAACAATGGTGGTGCTTCTGGCACCATCTGAAATATATATATATATATATATATATATATATATATATATAAATGAATGGTGGATCAGTGCCATCGAAAGCAAACAAATGAATAAAAAAATTGATGATGGACAGTGATGTATATGTTTTATCAGTATTTAGCATAATACACTAAATAAAACGAAGCATGTTCATTGATTTTCGAGAAATTACAAGTGCGAAAAAAAAAAAAAAAAAAAAAAAAAAAAAAAAAAAATGTATCTAACAAAGAAAGAGGAAGATGGACCCTTCACAAAGGTCGTTCACGTAAAGCCCCACTACTCGGCCAAACTCCAGGAGCGGGAAGCACCGAAGATAGATCATTCGAGGCCCCAATACTTGGTGGAACGCTTGATGACGCCGGAAAAATGTGCCTCTGGAAGAAAGACGCAAGCCTTTGACGGTCACTTTGAATGCGACCTTGAGATTCTTGCATCTCATCAAGCTTCCTCTTCATGCCCGACGAATAGTTATTTGCAAGCACATGCAAACTTCTATTCTCGTACTTAAGCTGTTTAATCTCTTGCTTAAGATCTTCCACCTCTGCCATCAATGATTCCACTTGACGGGACCGAGCAAGCAGGCGTTGGCCCATGTTGGACACAGAGCCCGTACACTGAACACTAAGAGCGAGGGACTCTTGGACGGCCAACTCATCGGACCGTCCTGACAGCAGCCTACTATCTTTTGGAGTAAGGAGGTTTCTAGCTACTATTGTAGCTGTTGTGGCGTCCTGCATCACGGAGTCTTCACCTGTAAGAGGACCGTTAGAAGATAAGAAAGAAGGACACCATACATTACCTTGAAGCGGCGCAACCGGATCACTGCTGAGACTCAATTCTAAGCTAAGGTTCGATGGGTTAGCCATTTTTCAAAGGTGTTAAAAGAGATGGGTGGATGGAGTTAAAACTCAAAAGGCCGGAGATGATTTTCAGGAATGAGCAACCTTCAAAGTATGCATGTTACAGGTGATCAATACCTCTATAAAAAGGAAGAGGCGTTTGCTCAGAAATCAAAGAGGCGTTGGTTCAGAAATCGAAGGGCCGCTTATTCAAAAGTGAAGAGACATCGCTCTGCAAATCTCAAAAGCTGGATTTTCCGGCGTAAGTTAGGCGACGCTTTCTCGGCTTTCCAGAAAACGCGTTCCACTTTGTCAAAAGATCTCCGACAAAGTTGAAAACACGTGGAGGCTGGCGACGCTTTCGCGGCTTTTCAGAGCACGGGTGCCACTTTGTCAAAAGATCTCCGACAAAGTTGAAAACACGTGGAGGCTGGCGACGCTTTCGCGGCTTTTCAGAGCACGGGTGCCACTTTGTCAAAAGATCACGTGGAGGTCATCATCGCAGCTACACATCTTTAGCTGACGAGCGCAAAGTTCGGCGACGCTTTCTCTGCTTTTCAGAAAACGCGTGCCACTTTGTCAAAAGAGACGCTCGTTCAGAAATCGAAGAGGCGTCGTTCAGAAATCAAAGAGGCGTATTCAAAGATCGAAGAGTCGTCACTATTTCAAAAAGCCGAATTTGCGGGATCAAAACGTTTGTCGACAAGGGTAAAAGAACAGTACCACCACTTGCTATTGGGAAATCCCTATATATGTCGACCTTCATCTTTTATGGCAAGGCAAACCTGCGAAAAAAAAATGCCCAACTCTTCCTCACCTCCGAGAGTACACTCCCAGCAAAACATCTCAAAATACTCAATTTTTTCCTCTTCCCCGAAGATGATACCAGATGCCTGGAGTACAGATGACCCAGGAGGAAACGGTAGATGGAAGCATGTGCTGATTCATTCACCGCTTCTTCAAAAGCAAAAGTATCTCATATCATCAAGGGCGAAAGCAAAGGTATCTCATATCATGCTTTTTCCTTGTCCTTTTCTTTGTCCTTGCTCTTACATGCAGGAGAAGGGGAAATAGAGTTATCAGTCGGAACCTGAAATCAAACTTCCGACCTGGAACTGATTGCCTGGAACCTTTGCCTGGTTGCTTACCTTGCATTGCTCTCGAGTACTCATCGTCGCGGAGAAGTAATGTTTTGAAGCACCATTTAAATGCAAATGTTGCATTCCATTCCTGCATCAGAGGACAAATACTACACGAGAAGATGCCAAACCTGCATAAGGAAATACCACTTCTGCAAAGGGAGCAAGTAAGACAAGTGAAAATGATACATCAAAGCATGTGGAGACAAGCACAACAAATATATGTGCTGATTCATTCGCTGCTTCTTCAAAAGCAAAGGTATCTTATATCATGCTTTCTCCATGTCCTTTCCTTTGTCCTTGTTATTACTCGCATGGCAAAGTGAAAAGAGCAATCAGACGGCACTTGGAGTCAGTTTTCCGATCTACCCTCTTCAATACGAATTGGGGAAAGATTGAACAAAGAAACAAGTCATCACTTCCACCTCCTGCTTGCCTGCCATGTGTCTGAATCCTGCTACCCAATTCAAGAGTAGCACAAAGGAAAATCAACGGTAGGGGGAGACCAAAAGAATCCTCCAGCCCAGTTCAAGATCAAGCCTCGATGGCCCCTTGAAGAAATCACAAGTCCGATTCAAAATCAAGTGTTCACCACCCTTGAATCAAATTCAACTCCAGATAAAAGGAGTAAGTTCAGACCTTCGGAGGAGACCAAAAGAATCCTCCAGCCCAGTTCAAGATTAAGCCTGCGGAAAATCAACGATTGGAGGAAACCAGAAAATCTTCCAGTCAAGCTCAAGATCAAGCCTCGATGGTCCTTGAAGAAATTTCCAGCCCAATTCAAGATCAAGCCTCGACGGCCCTTGGGTTGACATCTACATTAAGGGACTTCAAAACGCATCTTCTACACGTGACAAGCACATGTCTACGACGCGCCTTGAAGTGGGGGCATTTGTAGACATCAAAATTTCGGTGAAATGAATGTTGACCAATAATTAAAATTTCAACGTTCACGTGTCACATAAATTTTACATGTAGCGTGTGATTCAATGAAAAATCGAAATAAATTGGAAAAGTCATCAAATATGACACGTGTCAATACCTGGCAGAAATGACTTATTTCATCTGATTATTTAAATCCAAAAATCAAGTTTTGAAATTCTATAAATAGGAAGCCAATGCATTCATTTAGAAAAAAAAAGAAGGAAGGAGAAGGAGAAAGGAAAAGAAGAAAAGAAGGAAGGAAGAAAGAAAGAAGCCTTGAAACTCTAAAGCTCTCAAGCAAATCCCGAAGGATCAAGAAAGCAATCTTCGTTCTTCGTCAAATCCACCTTCAAGATCAAGCCCCGACGGCCCTTGAAGAACTTCCACCAACTCAAGATCAAGCCCCGACGGCCCTTGAGGAAAGTGTTCATCATCCACACATCCGTTCATCCTTCAAGATTAAGCCCAGAAGCCCTTGAAGATCCGTTCATCCTAAGATCAAGCCCCAACGGCCCCTTTGGATCAACAAATCCACACATCCGTTCATCGTTCATCATCCATCAACCTTCAAGATCAAGCCCCAACGGCCCTTGAAGATTCATTCATCATCCGTTCATCCTTCAAGATCAAGCCCCAACGCCCTTGAAGAACTTCCACCAACTCAAGATCAAGCCCCGACGGCCCTTGAAGAAAGTGTTCATCGTTCATCATCCGTTCATCCTAAGATCAAGCCCCAACGGCCACTTTGGATCAACAACCTCAACAAATCCACACATCCAACCAACCTTCAAGATCAAGCCCAAAAGCCCTTGAAGATCCGCTCATCCACCAACCTTCAAGATCAAGCCCAAAAGCCCTTGAAGATCCGCTCATCCACCAACCTTCAAGATCAAGCCCAACGGCCCTTGAAGAACTCCCACCAACTCAAGATCAAGCCCCGACGGCCCCTTGAAGAAAGTGTTCATCATTCATCAACTGTTCATCCTTAGATCAAGCCCCGACGGCCCTTTGGATCAACAATTCATCCACAAACGTACACCCTTTGAAGATAGAATCAGAGGACCAAATTACAAAGAGATTGTAACCCCAAAATCATTAATACAAAATATATATTTTGTACACGTATTCTTGTCGCTTGTTTCAGGAATTTCTCGTGTTTACAAGCCTTGCGTCAGGTCCACCTTGGGCTCACGGGTTGACGATTCCTCACGGGCCTCTTGCTCGGGCCTGGCTAATCCCTCGGGCTCCCAACGCTTGAGTGCTTCTGTCGGGCTATGGAGCCCTGTTTGGTCCACCTTCCCCCGAGCACCAGCCAATGCTGGAACTGCTCTAAGAAAAATGTTGATGTATAAATAGTATATATACTGCTTTTACAATTAATATAAGGCAAATAAAACAAGATAAAGTAGGGAGTTGGGGGACATATGTTTTCACAACCGACTATGACTGTTTGCAGTGAGATGTCAAGAGAATAAAGGATGGAACAGAAAAAAGAGGTTCCACTAAACATCACAAGGAGTATATAGATGAGGTACAATCATTTTACGAGTGTGTGTGTGTATGTATACACATATATACATAGATACATATACATATACATACATACATACATACATATATATATATATATCTTGACGTAAAAAATAATGATCACATCTGTAGCTCTAACATTATAGGAGACGGCACAATTTAGATTGGATCAGTTTTACAACAAATCACAGCCAAATTAATTTACGATCATCAATTTAGTTCGAATCAGTTTCAACAAAAATCATTAACCAGTTCATATGAACCAAACAACTTGGGCGTAATCCTGTTCTCTTTTGCATTTTCTAAAATTTATTTGTCCAGATAACTTGTTGCATATTTTTCATTTTCTAACAAATTAAACCATCCAAAAAATAAACAATGTTATTAAATTTCAAAGTTCATTGAACCAATAACATAGTTGCAACTCGAACATCAGTAACTTCATAATTCCAGCAAACTTCAAATTTTACATATCCTTAATTTCTTATCTAGTTAAGTAAAAGTACTACACGTATAAATCAAAATAACATAAAAATAAGGATTATTTTTACTTTACCATCCTCAAATATCGTGAAATTTTCAACTTTCATACCTAAAGTTGTTTTCATTCCACTTTCATACTTAACGTCTAATTATTGTGCCATTTTCATACTTCCACTAGAATTTCTGTTAATTACTCTGTTAATTAATAACGTGACATAACTTTGGCACACCAACAACTTCTTCATCACCGACTGGCCACCCTACCGGTCAAAGTTTAATGATCAAAGAAATAGACAAGCTACGTCAGTAGATTTTGCTCAAATTTAGCGAACTTGACTTCATGAGCTAGCACAACTTTGGTAGCTAGATAGGAATACTTCCAAGAGTGATGATAAGATTTTATATTTTAATTATTTGTTTACTTTATTAAATTTTAAATGGAGATATTAGAGTTTCAAGTTCAACGTGATTCAAACATTATCTCAATTCATCGTGTTTTTGCACTTTCACCCAAATTGAAGATGGAAAAATATATAAGGGTGTGCTATTCACATGTCTTTTTTTTGCTCTATATACACCTTCTTAATTTATGATCGTTGGATCGACTGGATTAAAGAACATCAAATGATATAAATTAACAAAGAGTGTGTGGATAGTACACCCCTACACACACACACACACACACACACACACACAAGTGTAAACCCGATTAAAAAAAAGAGGAGAAAACAAAAAAAATGAAGAGAAGAATTTACAATCATTTTGTCCTCAATATGGAGAAATTAGGTTCTCATCCATCTTTTTGCTACTCCATTGATTAAAACCTTATTCCTTTTCAATTTTTGATTAAGGTTCTTAGGTTTTAATAAACGCTATTAATTATTTCAATAATAAAATATTTTTAATTTCTAAATACATTCATTTAGTGTTAGAAATGTTACATTTAATATATTTATATTTACAGCTAAATTTTTTATCATATATTTTTATTTTTAGTTTGTACCCATTTTTAATTTGCAACATTTTTTTTTTTAAATTTGTACCGATTTTATTTTCAATTTTCATTTGTACCCATATATTAATTTCTTTTTGTGCCCATATATTTTAAACTTTTATTTGTATTTGTACCCATTTTTAGTTTTGCTAAATGTACCCATGCTAAGTATATGTATTAAAATATATCAGTAGTTATTTTTTAAAATATGTTAATAATATGTGGGTACATTATTTTTTTTTCTATAATTTTGTGAAGAACAATATTACTCTATTATTGATTTTTTAAGTGTTTATTATATTTTTAAAATGTTATTTGAATTTGGTTAAATTTCATAATTTGAGGACATTAAATGCATAAATGCATGAGTTAAATATCTTAAATAATGCTAAGGACTTTGATCAAAATATATAAAGAAACAAGGTTTCAATCTAACAATTAGGTTGATAAGGGACCGAAACCAAAATGATCCTAAAAATATTGGACCTCAATTAACAACTGAAAGAAACTAATGGTTGCCTTGATATCGTGGTATTTCAAGTATTTATATATGGGTACATTGTCGTAAAAGATATGATGTTTTTTTTTTTGGTTGTAATAACCACAATGATTAACACAACCTTCACGCATGCTATGTATAATCTATGTATTTTGTACAAAGTTAACATGCATTAGTGTTTGTTTCCCCACAAGATTAATTTAGGGTTCTACACATCATATGTACTATATTGCAGCAACTTTAGCCATGCATGCGTCTCCCTGGTGCTATCTAGCTGGCCCATGTGAATAATAACTGAGCACAAAAGTTCAATACAAGCAAGTTTTTTTTTCGTTTGTTTTTGTTTTGAATTTACACTATGACTATCTTGAACTGAAAGAGCTAAATATAGCACTATCGAGAATTATAGTTCTGTAAAATATTATTTTTAAATAAATAGTGCTAGGCTATATGTATATACCATTTCCAACTGAAAGAGGCTATGTTTTAAGGAAAGGGATCCTCGCTAGATCCTTTTCCTAGGGATCTCGGGGATCTCATGACTGTGACTGCTCATCATATATCTTGCGATCAGTTTTCATTAGGTACTATGTATATTTAATTTCAAATTTTAAATTTAAAATGATTTTTGACCGCACGATATACGATAAACAGTCACAATCACGGGATCCCCAGGAAAAGGATTTGACAAAGATCCTTTTTCGTGTTTTAGCCCCTCAATAATTTATTATTTTTTTTAAATTTGTTCTTTAACTTATTGGTTAATTGAATAACATTAACTTATTAAAATAAGGTTATATAAGATATGGCTACATTTTTCTACATTATTGACTTTATTAAGTACGTTCAACGTTCTAAATTATTTAGTATCTGCATTCTCTTTTAAGAATTATCTACGTAAATTACTTAGTATTACAATTTAGTGGTATTCCTCTTCACTTGTAAGTGAGAGGTCTTACGTTCGATTCTCGCCAAAGGCGAATATATTATTGCTAGCCTATTGTGAGGCTAATCCCACCCCCTTCCCCTAGTGTAGATAATATCGTTTGTTAAAAAAATGACTAAACATTGTTGAACTCAAATAATTTTTTTTTTACAAATAATCTTTAAATGATAGTTGAAAAAAAAAATGAACTACTTTGATTGTTTACATAACGTAATAGTGTTTGAAGGGATATTTCAGCTCATTTTTCTTATGTTCGGACTATTTTGAGCAAAGTAAATTAGACTAATAAAACAAAATTATTTGGTCTGGCCTAGGGATTTTTTGCTTTAAATTTTATTAAAGTCAAGAGTAAAGATAACTGTTATCTTTGTAAGACTAGTGGGACCATTATCAAGGGCATAAGAGCAATATCCTTTATTAAGTACATCACTCTTTTTTAGTGTCTTTCAAATTTCTAAATTATTTAGTATCTACATTCTCTTTTAAGAATTATCTACGTAAATAACTTAGTATTACAGTTTAGTAGTATTCCTCTTCACTTGTAAGTGAGATGTCTTACGTTCAATTCTTGCCAAAGGCGAATACATTATTGGTAGCCTATTGTGAGGCTAATCTCACCCCCTCCCCCTTAGTGTAGATAATATTGTTTGTTTAAAAAATGGCTAAACATTGTTGAACTCAGATAATTTTTTTACAGATAATCTTTAAATGATAATTGAAAAAAATATAAACTACTTAGATTGTTTACATAACAGAATAGTGTTTGAAAGGATATTTCAACTCAATTTTCTTATGTTCAGACTATTTTGAGCAAAGTAAATTAGACTAATAAAACAAAATTATTTAGTCTTGCCTAGGGATTTTTTGCTTTTAATTTTATTGGAGTCAAGAGTAAAGATAGCCATATCTTTGTAAGACTAGTGAGACCATTATCAAGGGCATAAGAGCATTATCCTTGAAGATAGCCGTTAATTTTACCGAAAGGGGTACACTTGTTCAGAACTTTTTTTTACCGAAAGGGGCTACTTGGTAGGGTCAACATACCCAGCTTGATAGCCTTTCGGCCTGGTGGGTCCCAATTCTTTTTGACCTAGCCCTCCATTGGAGTTGGGTTTTGTGGCATTTTGAGCTAAAACTTGGCCTATAGCCCTATAGTCATCTCCATTGGAGATGACCTAAAGGGAGAGAGTGAGTTTTGCATCACAATATACTAGCAATAATATGGTTCAAATTCGCTTTTGACGAGAATCGTATTTAAGACCTCTCACTTACAAATAAAGAGAAAAACCACTAGAACGTAGTACTAAGTGGCATCAAGCTTTACTTCTACTTCTTCTGGTTCATGATGCACGTACCCGTTTTCTACTTTTAAGTATGTTGTTGAAACTTTATGAACATTAATCACATAATGACCAACACTTGAGGTACTGCATCTCTAATCAAGAGGTACGATCTAATATATTAGTAGGACTGTATGAAAAATGCTAATGGAATTCTCTCAAAAGTGAAATTTTTTATAGACTCTCGGTCATGTTATGTTTTTGACATAATGTTTTATAATATTGGTACGAAAATTAAAGTAAAATTGTGAGATGATAGAGAATTAGTAAAGAATTCCACTTTTGAAAAACACTCCTTAACATTTCTCTGCTATATTGGTTCAAATATACTTGAGACCAGCAACTGGAACATGATTATTCGTTATTGTATAGCTTTGATGAGTCCAATCCAAATAAGAATCCAATAGGCCTGCTTTGTATTGGGTTCAGCAAACCCAACTCCACCCGTAGATATTTTGAGGCACACACATTCGATAACTTTCCGAAAGCGTCAACCCTTTCTTCTCCCTTTTCGAATCAAGACAAACCCCCCAAAAAGTGCAAATAAAAAGCAACCTTCAACGCCAAATACTCAAGTAGCCAGCTAGCCAACATAAAACCCACCATTTTCTGACCCATCATCCTAAAAATCTCACTTCCTCCGAATTAAAAATCTTATGTTTTTTCTTCTTCTTTGTAATTGTTGATTATTGTAGCAGGGCAAATAGGTGTAAGATGTCTGTTTTGGTAGCCAATTCTCACGTTCTGTGTAGCAGACAAGTCCATCACAGTCACAGAGACCAACAGCCACAGTTCTGGAGCAATGGCGGCGGTTTCCTGTTGTTGCCAAAAGCTTCTGGATTAGGGTTTATGGACAGAAACAGAGATGGCAACAAGACGTTGAAGAGGGACTTGAAAGTTGAGGCCTTTTGGGATACGGATACCTCGAGTCCCACGGTTGTGGAGTTGGAAGCAATCAACGACTGTGATCAGCTTGATCAGATTCTTAGCCATGCACGGGAGAGCTCTCAGCCCGTTGTCATTGATTGGTCTCTCTCTCTCGTTGTCTTAGATGAATGGATGCATGGTCGGCCACTTTTCACTTTCTCTCTCTTATCTATAGAAGCCAATGAGGTTTAGTTGGAAGCTGTCACAAAGCTACTTGCATACATTTGTAATATTTCATCTTTGTCATGGCAAGTTACTCACTTCTGAGCGAGTCTAAACAGAATTTCTCGTTGAGTTGTCATTGAGAAAGGAGATTCGAGCACGAGTTAGTTGGTAGCTTGAACACTGAAAATTTAAGCAAATTAGCTTTTTTTATTACAAACTTTGGTGACCTGAACATAGTTTTCCCTCTTCCATTTTTGTGACAGGATGGCATCTTGGTGCCGCAAATGCATCTATTTGAAGCCTAAATTGGAGAAATTGGCTGCTGAATATGACACCAAGTAACTCTTTCTCTCTCTCTGTGCAAAAATAAAACTCTTCGTATTATGAACCATACTGTAACGGCATTTCCATGTACACAAACACAACAGGATCAAATTCTACTATGTTGATGTCAACAAAGTACCTCAAGGTCTAGTAAAGCATGGAAATATCTCTGTATGTCTATTTGCAGTTTGAAAGAGACTTTCTTACACCCTTAATACGTCACTGTGACATCTCAGACTAATAATACAATGTCACGTGAGAACTTTAAAACACACTACTATCACATTATTTATTTGAGATATCACTGTCACATACTAGGAGGTGTAAGCCCGTCCTCATGAACTTCTATCCTTGCATTATTCACCATATTATTGATTTTTTTTTTTTTCGTTTTTCCGTTTTCTCAGAAAATGCCTACAATTCAGGTGAGATTTTCTACTGTACAGTAAAAGTTTTGCGATAGTGTTAAACGACATAGCTAAACTGTTGTAAATGGTTTGTTAAATGTAATTGCAGGTATGGAAAGATGGAGAGTACAAAGCAGAAGTGATTGGGGGACATAAAGCATGGCTTGTGCTTGAAGAAGTGAGAGAAATGCTCAAAAACTTTGAGTGAAAGTTTATCTTTTGATCGTTCTGTTTCCTTTATTAACCCTTTTACCTGTAATATGTTTTCATCACAATATATAATGAAAGAAGAATCTGTGCAGTCAAATTTGCTTTCCCTCTGGTTTCTTCAAATGTTTGTAAGGATGAATTCCAGTTTTGAGCTCAATTTTTCGTTCCTTGGTGCCTCGAAGGAACGAATAATATTGCATTCGAGATGGAATGCGCAAGAAACTAATCTCGGTTTGATATCTTGCCGGATTGTGCGAGGTTGATTCATACAATGAGATTGTTCTCTAAGAATGGCCAAATTGGTGAAATTGATGAGGAAACAATTTACTTTGCAAAACTACGAAATTAGTATGACAAAATATCACGGTAATTTGGTTGGCTGGATAAGATGAGTTAATAACCAATTAAAATGGCTAAGAGTCCAAGTTCGTTGTTTTTTGTGCAAAATGTAATTTGAACATGACATAATAAGTTATGTATTCAAAATAGGGGTTGTCTAACCCAACACAACCAAGGGTTACAAATCCCGTCTACGCGAGGCAATGTGAGGCAATCATCGTTGCGTTCATCTTCATCTCCTCTCTCAGTCATCATCTCTCTCCATATCTCGTCTCTCTCTCTCTCATTGTGAGTGAGATATGATCAGCAACCCTGAAGTCGTGGGGTCGTTAGAATGGCGTTGTGGGGTCATCGGGACCGCGTCGTGGGTCGTTATAGCGGGAGTCGTGGGTTTTGGTGAGAACCCAGGTCTCCGATAGTTCTATATCGCGAGTGAACAACGTACTAAAACTGTCGTTACAACATCATCAACCAAACGTCCTAAAACTGATATAGGCAGATCTTTAGATATTATCTACAGTCAAGACCACCGGTAGTTAGTTTGTGTACTTGTGAGCTGTAGCAATGTAATGTGATGTATCATTATCCATCCCTCTAAAATTCTTCCCCACTATTACTTGTGAATAAACCGTTAAGAATCTAGGGATGCTAGTCAAAGTACCACTTGCTTACATTTGTAACATTTCATCTCTATCATGGCAAGGTACTCACTTTTGAGCGGGTTTGAACCGCATTCTTCGTTTAGTTTGTCAATGAGAAAGGAGATTTGAGCATGAGTTTGTCACGAGTTAGTAGTAGCTTCGGTAAACTGAAAATTTAAGCAAATTATTATCGTTATTATTAGTATTATTTTATTTTTTATTTTTGTACAACTTTTGGTAACTTGAACATAGTTTTCCCTCTTCCGTTTTGTGACAGGATGGCATCTTGGTACCGCAAATGCATCTATTTGAAGCCTAAATTGGAACTAACTGTAACGGCATTCTACCATGTTGATGTCAACAAAGTACCTCAAGCTCTCGTAAAGCGCGTAAACATCTCTATATGTCTACCTGCATTTTGAAAGAAACTTTCTCACATCCTTAATACGTTACAGTGATATTTCAAATCAATAATACAAAATCACCTAAGAACATTAAAGCACACGACTATGACACGTTATTCGTTTGAAATATCACTGTCACGTACCAGGAGGTGCCCCATCGTTCACGTGACCTTGAATTATTTAATATATTACTGATCTTTTTTCTTTTTCGTGTTTCCAATTTCTCAGAAAATGCCTACAATTCAGGTGAGATTTTCCATTGTGCAGTAAAAGTTTTGTGATTGTGTTTAAACGACAGCTAAATTGTTGTAAGTGGATTGTTAAGTGTAATCTTGAAGAAGTGAGAGAAATGCTCAAAAACTTTAAGAAAGTTATATTTTGAACTGTACAATCAAATTTGCTCTCCCTCTTTGTTTCTTAAAATGTCTGTAAGGATGAACTCCAGTTTTGAGCAAGCTCGTTTCTCCGGTTCATGGTGCCTCCAAGGAACGAAAATCTTGCTTTCGAGATGGAATGCAGCAGAAACTAATCTCGGTTGAATCATACAATGAGGTTGTTTTCTAAGAATGGCCAAATTGGTGACAGAAATTAATGAGGAAACAATTACATTGCAAAACTATGGAATTAGTAGAAGAAAAATATCATGGTGACTTCTTCAAACATACATACGCCATCCCATTCTGTCCACAAATGCTCAGCTATAATTTGTAAGACAATGCTTGTTTGGTAGGCTGGATGGTATGGTTATAACCAATTAAAATCGCTATGAGTTCAACTCCGTTGTTTGTTGTGCAAATATAATATATAGGCAAGAAATGATAAAGTTGTAAATTCAAAATGGCTTTTTAGCTAATATGATTTCTAAAATTTGCATAACTCGTCAATTTGGTCCCCATGAGATTTGAAATCAACAAAAATAATCTCTAAGTTTGTCCACCTTCAATTATTTTAGTTCCTCAGATGTCGGGACGACAACATGGGCTCTTTATGGGACGTTAACGGGAGTCATGGTTCTATCGCGAGTGGTTGATGTGGAGAAAGAGCTAGCTTTCACAACCTATCCAACTGAGTTGTTTACGCCAAACAATAGACAAACCTCTCTTCGAACCCTAGCGTAACCAATCCTAAATACAACCACCTATCCTATCCTGCCCGCCAAACGAGCCGGAAATCACCACGGGTTTTCCCTCACTCGACCATATACCTCAGGTTTCCCTCATCCAACCGCCGCCACCGTGCAAGCTCAACTCAAACTTTGTAACCCTATTGTCATTGAATCTTCACTCTTCATCCCACACAATAACCAGTCTCTCCTGCAGAGCAACCTAAACACTTGACTACGCCTAAAAACTCGCAACAACGCCCTCAAGTGGGTACTTACTCACGACCACAGTGAACAACGTACTAAAATTGCCGTTACAAAACCGTCAACCGAACGTCCTAAAACTGATACAGACAGATCTTTAGATATTATCTACAGTCAAGACCTACTGCATTTGTCAAAACCTGCTGCGTTTGATCTGGGTACTTGTAGGCTGAAGCAATGTAATGTATCACTATCCATGCCTCTAAAATTCTTCCCCACTATTAGTTGCGAATATACACTTAAGAAGCTACAACATAACAATAGCATATGTTCATTTCTAACAATATAATCATCCAGTAAGAAACATCCTGCTATATAACAACACATGATTAGACAACGTAGTATTAAAAGGAGATTGAAAACTCAAATCCAATCTTCACACTTTCGGCATGCACGTTAACTATCAACATAACATGATCATCAAGAAGTTACACGAATAACAAATTAAATTTATGTTCATTTGCTAATACTGAAACAAGTGACAAACACACCATAAGGGATGTTATTCGCCGCAATGGCGTAAAAACCACAGCTCTTCTCTGCAAGGCATCAAGGAACAAACTTATTTCACTCGCGGTGATGAAAAAACGGTTGGGATTAAAAAGCAAAAACCGAAGGGCATGGTACAAGTACAAGAAATCAATCCATTGCAATGAGACAAATCCGACAAAATTCACACTAAATGCCACCAGAATTTTAGTTATTGAAATCTCGAGAGGACTGAAGATTTGTTATGATGAAAATCTGCTTATCAATGACCGCACACGACATTGTAACATTAGACTCAGAAAATGATTTTGATAGGAAGCATTGTAAATTAATCCCAAACATTTAATTCATGCTTCCAAAATCAACAAATTCCACAATTGCAAGAGAAACCCAACGTGAATATCTTAAATGCCAAAACCAAAAACTGCCCTTATCCGCTGGAAGATATGATCCCGCCATCCTCTCTCCGTATTCTCCACCACGGTCGCGTTCCCATATCTGCATTACCAAACACATAAAAACAAGGCAATTAACTTTCCATTAAATAAATAAAAAAAAACAATTCAACTCACAAGCTCCAATACAATCAACCTAAAATTTAAGCTCCAATACAGTCAACACTAAATTTGTTTTCAAGAAAAACCCATTAGTCGAAAGCTTAAACAAAACCAACCTGTCTTCCACAGGAATGTCCGTATGTGTTAGCTTAACAACAGTGAGCCCAGGTTCAGGTTCTTCAAGTATAAGCCTCACCTGCAAAATTCAAACATAAAACACTCAATCAACAAATAACAAAACCAATTAAAAGCACTGATAAGAACACATTCAAACACGAAAACCCGAATTTCAAATGCCACATACCGTCGAATCAATCCCGTCTGGCCAGCTCCCAAATCTCCATTTCTGCACAATCAAACTCCCACTCTGCAACTCCAAATTCGTACCGGTCACCGACCCATCAAAAATACTAATCGGCCCTCCGACCTCCTTGCTTATCTTCGCATTGCTCTGCGTAAAACCCTTCCATCTGTTCTCATCCATCAAAATCTCAAACATATCTTTCGCCCTGCAACTGAACTTCTCAGTCAAACTAATCGTCTTAAACCCTTTCCTGTTCTCCTTCTTCTTCACCTCCTCCTTCTCCACAACCACCTCCTTTTTCGCCGTCGCCGCAGCAGCACCCACTGCTGTCGAATTACTCTTCGGCGCAATCTTCTTAGCCTCAACTTCCTCCTTCGCCGGCCCGCCCTTCGCCATACCCTCCACATAAAACCTAACCTTCTCCAAAATCAACGGCTTCCCTTTCGCCACCATCGCCTCCTTAATCCTCCTCCCAATCGGCCCCTCATCCTTCACCGAAACCTTAACCTCGGGGTCCTCGTCGGCGTTCTCGTCCGAAATATACGGAATCTCCACAACTCCGTCGACCTTCAGCAGCGACTTCCCGTCGCCGTCCTTCGCCTCACCCTCCCACGACAGACTGAGGCTGATTTCGTATCCCGGGATGATCTTCCCCTTCCGGACGTTGACGTAGGCCTCGCCGTCGACCTTGTCGACGGTCTTGGTCCTGAGGTATAGGTTGCCTTCGCCGTCGAGGACGGTGAGGTTGTTGAGGAGCTTGGTGAGGAGGTCACGTGACCAGCCGAGACAGTCGGTCTCGGCCCAGTGCCAGTTGTGGACGTTGGCTCCGTCGGGCCTGTCCTCCACGATCCACCGCTTGTCGCCCTCGCCGTACTTCGCCATTGAATCGAATCAGGATTCACACTCAAAGTTGTAGAGAGAGAGAGAGAGAGAGAGAGAGAGAGAGGAGAGGGGGAGAGTGAGGGTTTGGGATGGGCGAGGAGAGAGAAACAAGGGGTGGGGGGGATGGAGTCTGGAGGGTTCTTATGGGAGGACTGAGGAGGGTGGAAGGGTCTAGAATTTTGAGGGGAGGCCCAATAAAGTGGGGGAATAGAAGGATCTGGAAGAACTATTTGGGCTTTATACCTACTTCTGTTGTTTAACTGGGTGAGCTGTCGGTTCAAAACGGCACAAACTAGATCCGGATGGAATTCAATTTCAAGATGGAAGAGGATTTCTCTAGATCTACTTTGTGAGGATTTTAAGAATCCTTATTTTCTAACCGTTCATCGTATATCGTGCAACTAGTTTACTATTTGTGTTTAATTTTAAATTAAAAAAATTAAATGATTTCTAATCGTACGATACACGATTAATGATTAAGATGTAGAAATCTCTAAAATCCTCACAAAGTAGATCTGGATGGGATCCAATGCCAAAAGAAAATCCCTTGTTGATTTCACTTCATATCCTATAATCTTGGAGAAATTCTCTTGTGCTATTAATATTTGTTTCTTATAGTTTTTATCGTCTAATAAATACTAGCCTTTATGCATGCGCTCATGCACGTGCAAAAGACATTTTTTGAATCACGACGTGCTATGCGCAATTTACACATTTTAAATGTATTTATATGCGTAAATTGACAAAAGGAAAGTCAAATATTTGAAGTAAATGAATAGTCTTAGATCATGCTAGAAGAAACCCCTCATAAACCAATTAAAGCAGCTGAATCCACATAATAAAATCAGTATCTATTGAATTTATATTAAGAATAGAGAAAATAATATTTAATAAACAACTGATTGAATCACATTATTGCTAACCCATTGTGTAGCTAAGTCCACCCCCTGCTCTTTATTGTAGATAATATCGTTTTTTCAAAAAAAAAAAAAAAAAATTATTTGACAACTAATTTAATCACATTATTATTTGCGTGCAAAATATACAGAAAATAATATTTAATGAACAACTGATTGAATCACATTATTGCTAATTTATTGTGAGGTTCTAATTATTAAAAAAAAAGGTAATTTTATTAACACCACAATCTTATGAATACACCTCATAATTTTATTTTTTTAGTTAAATTTCCGTAGAAACGAATTAAATTTTGAAGTCCAAAATAAACCCCATCCACCCCTTTATGCTGACTGCCAACCACCACAATATCTGGGCAATCTCTCTCTCTCCATATATATATCCAATCACCAGCCTCTCGCTGGTAGGCAATAGGGAATTGGGATATGGGGTGTGTGAATCAAGAGTGTCGGGCAATTCTCGGTCTGTTAAAGAGTCGGTCATCCAATCACTAGGCACTCACCGGTAGGTAATAGGGAATTGGGAAATGGGATGTGTGAATCAAGAGTGTTGGGCAATTCTCGGTCTATTAAAGAGTCGGTCTTGATTGTCAACTTCCACAACGTGGGGGTTTTTTGCTGTGTTGATATCGATGACGGATACCTCTTATATGGGTGGCCCATGGCCATCGAGCTAGCTTTTTTGCCGTCATTTGTTTATGGGGATGGGGTGGCTTCAGAAAAATGGTGGACAAAGCTGGAATTTTAGAGGCACATTTTAGATGTGGGGTGTAGGTTAGACGTCAGTCAGTTAAACTGTAAACATAATGCAAACACTATTACGAACAATCATGGCTAATAGACCTTTCCTACAAACATTAAAAGAACGACCCCAAGCCAACCAGGCACCCACTTGGCGAGGGTTGTGTTGTTTACAAAAAAATTTCAGGTTCACATATCTGAAAGGGACACCGGATTACCAAAGCGGCCATATGCATGATTAGGGATAAGTATACGTATCGACATTTTGAACAGTTTCATGAAACATAAGTTAAGATTCAGGTGGCCTGAGGGTGTTTTTAGGAGCACTTATCCAAGAGGTACCTGCAACTGCAAATCTCCACAATGCATTGACATGCTCAGGTGAAGCGTATTCAATTCCCACACGCGGACCAACCAGCATCTTTTCGGGCTCTGGACCATCTAAGATCTCCAGACCATCTGGCCAGACCCATTCATTTATCTCAGAATTAAACAAGTTTGTTTAGATTTATAGATGAAGGGGTGCGAGCCAACCATACGTACCTGGAGTATAAAGGGGATGGCTTGACCACTCGGTAGAAAGTCCCAGCGCTTGACCAATCTGAACACAAAAATATAGACCTTAACAGTTCAAAAACCGCTAACGCAAAGAATGGCACACGGAATTCAAAGAAGTGTATCAGTTTCTCCGAGAGTAAGAACAACTATAAATGTTTTAATTTATATTGAAATATATTTATGCTCATCAGCCTATTTTGATACAACGATAGTCACACATTTGCATATGAGGCAGGTTGTTAAAATTTATAGGTTTCTGTTTTGGTAAAATCAACAGCACCTACACTAACCATCCAAAAACAAAGTATACCATCAACCACTAATACAAAATTTGTGCCAACAGAAGATTGCATTGGAATTTAACACAGATTTTTAAGGAAAACGATGCTGACCTTTCCAGGTCCATTAAGGAGCACGGGTTTATCAGTTTTCTGACCTCGACGCCGCTGAATGGTCTCCAATCCTGTAATGACTTTCATTATTTCTGTGAATAGCATTCATCGAGAGAAATGGATAAAGAGAAGAAAGAGGGAGAGATGAATCTCCTTTCACATGGTTATGAGATAGTTAAATGTAGAGAAAAAACGACAACAAAAGAAGGAGCTATTTTTTCCCCACCAGAAAGTAGAGAGAATTTGAAAGAAAAACGTGAATCAGAGAAACTAAAAATATTTTCCCTCTCTTATCCCATATTCTTTTCGCTACCTTCGTAAACAACTTTGTCATACACATTGCCAGTAAAAGACGTTTGCACTATGGTAGAGCTCACTCCTTTTTAGTCCTTCTAAAAAGTTTCGGGTTGGAATAAAGGTTGTTGAAGAGCTGACATCTATTTAGGAAAGATGGTCAGCACATTGTTCTCTCCCTTATCAGTAAACATTTGGAAAACTATGCTAATCCATACCATCTCAAACAGTAATCAGCAGTCTTTGGAAGCTACTAGCTCTTCACTTGCAGTTCAAGTCGAATTCTTTCACCTAACACCGCCTAAAGTTATTTCTCTTCCAAAGCAAAGAAGCACACATGACTGCATTAAAAGAACCTTTGTTACCACTCCAAAATGCTCACCTCACTCATGTGCTTTCCCCACCCCCGTTATTTCGGTTTCTTTTCTCAAAATTATATTGCTCAACTCACCTCTCATATTCCCAACATACTCCTAAACTTGAACACTAGTTTTAAAACCAGAAAAAAATAAAACTAGATCCATTTATAAAAAATCTGGTATCGGTTTCAAATAATCATAACGATGGTTGGTTAGCAGGACAAGACTTTCGCTTTCGATTGACACAACGGCTAGAAGCACACAAATTACATGCAATTAAAGGGTAAATACAAGGATAACTCTAGTAAGTGATCGTTAGGGTATTACGGCTATCTCTATGAAAATTTACCACTAACTGGAGCGCAAGAACGTATTAGGACAGCAGCCCCAACTCCCTCCTTGTCAGCAACAACATTCAGCATTGTATGAAGGCCGTAGCAAAGATAAACATACGCATGCCCTCCAGGTCCAAACTGTATCCCAACCACAATACATTAATTTGAGCTCATGTTTTTCGATACTTATCTACATTTTGAGATCACAAAACGCGAAGAAAAACAGAACAAAACCGATAAAGGGAGCATCTCACAACGGGGGCTGTTCTCGCAGTTATGCCAAATCGACCATGACAAGCCGAATCATTTGGCCTATAAGCTTCTACCTATCACCAATGCAAAATCAATTAAACTCTCGTCATGATACGAACATTTACATTCCCCTTTACAAATCATTAAGTCAAACATTTTGATTTATGCATTTCATTCGAAAACAACAGGAAATTTGAGCATTTGAGACACAACGTGAACTCGTTTTCCGACTTGGAAGCTTTTCAGCTCAGTCACACAAGCGCGAATTCCTTCATTTTATTGGGAAACAAACAGAAAGTTGACAAACTAATTTCAAACGGAAAAAGACAACAGTAAAAAATTGATGGGTAAATTACCTCAGTAATCTGAAGAACAACATCCTCTCGCCTCAGAAACTTGCCCAGCAAACGTGGGGCGAGCTCTAGGGCGTCGATTTGGAAGAAGGAGAAGGGCAAGATGGTCATTTTCTCGGGAAGAATGTCTGAGATTGGGAGTGAGGAGTCGGATTTGGTTCGAGGTTGAGATTGGGGTTTTTTGGGTTTGACCGCTGCGACGGTCAACGATTCGGAACATTGACTCGGCCGAGTTTTGCCTTCTTCATTACTGAGTCGGTTGGATGGAATTGGCCTCTTGGGTTTGGCGGCGACTCGTTTAAATGCCAGAGGTTTCTTCATTTCGTCTCGCAGGATGTTTATGTTTGCTGGATTTTGGCGGGTATTTGTTGGTCCCTAAAAAAAGACGAAACTTGGTTCATGACATCATATTACCAAATTAGGGTAGTTTGAAGGTTTTTTTAAAATAATCGAAAGTGTCTTTAGAAAATAGGGATATGCTATCCACACATCCTATTTTACTTCTCACACACATCTTGATAATTTTTATCTGTTGATCTTCTTCAATTCATCATATCTGACGCTCAAAAATTAAAAAAGTATGTGAGAAGTAAAATGAGATGTGTGTATATCAGATCCAAAAAATAATTTTAAGTTTCAAAAACATTTTAAATGTTTTTCTAGCTTTATTTACATTTGATTAATTATTAGTTTAAAAAATATATTTACCAAAACCATTTTCAGTTATTTTAAAAGTACTTCCAACATTGAGAATTATCTTGGATCTTGTCATCAAAAGAAAATTATATATATTTGTGTGTTTAAATCACATAATATTGTTGTTTTGTTAGTTATCTACACTTCAAAAATTCATCATGTACGCCTTGAAGGGGCTCTCTAGGACGAAACCCTAGGAGAGCGCTGTCATCAGTTTGTTGGTTGTTTCTGGCCGACAAACTCAGGCCACTCTAACTTTAGAGGCGGTGAAGCAGAAGACGAATGGTGTGGCAGATAGTATCGCAACTAGTCGAGAAGGTGCTCAAGGGCTGTTTGCGGACTTGGACGTGGATAACAAGGGGACTGAGCACTATGGAAGACATGGTCTCCAAATTTTCTGGGCAATTTGCTATCACGGAAGATGAACAGAAGATACTTGTGGTTGATGCGAAGGAGGCGTCGACGCTGAGAACTTCGAAAGTTTTCTTGGTGGGGAAGGTGTTAACACAAAAGCCCTTCAACAAGGAAAATTTCAAGCGTAAATGCGAAGCTTGTGGAAACCCAAAGCGAATGTATTTATCATGGATTTGGAGAAAGATAGATTCGCGTTTGAAATTAACACGAAGCAAGAGATGACTGTGATCCAACGGGGGGGTCCATGGCTGTATAAGAAGCAATATTTATTGGTACTGGAAGAGGCAGATAATGGAACACAACCATTGAATGTGCTGTTATCCTATCAGGACTTTTGGGTTCAGATTAAAGGACTTCCGATTTGTTACATAACGAGATAAATGGGTAAACTTCTCGACAACCACTTGGGAGAGTACATTTTATCGGACCAAAGTTGAAAGGAAGAGCAATATGGGAGCATTCTCAGAATCAGGGTTCGCATTTACACCTCCCTATTGAAGATGTTGTTATACTGGACCAAGACCGAGTTCAACCTGGGCCTGGGACTATGATCGTTACTAGAGGCTCGAGAAAAGAGCTTAACCAAGTGCAATCCAGAATGGAGCTAGAAAAGGTTGTTGTACATGAGGAAGGGATGGGAACACGACAAGGGCAGTAGGGAAAGCAAGTTTTGGGAAGGGACATAACTGAATGGTCGTTAGGATTCGACCCTTTTAATTTGGCCCCTTTTATATATGGCAGTCAGGCATATGAACAGAGAAGAAATAGACGGGGTGGGGGTACTACATACACTGCTCGAAGGAGACAAAGAAGAGTATAACGGAAACTCCCTGAGTTGGGGAAGAGAAGTGAACGAGAAGTGGGTGATAATTGTAATAGGCATGAACCCAAGCGAAGGTCTGTGCTGTATTCTTTTATGAATTCTACAACGGCGAACAACACCAATGAGTTGTGTAAGCTGGAATTACCGGGGGCTTGGGAACCACCGGGCAATTCGTGCACTGAAGAGACTAGTTCTCTCAAAAGATCCCAATGTGATTTTTCTACGTGAAACAAAAAGCTCAATAGAGTATATGGAGGGATTAAAATCACAATTAAAGTTTGATTTTATTTTTACGGTACCTAGTAGAAGACGTTCGGGAGGTTTATGTGTGGTGTGAATGAGGAACTCCTCCTTCAATTTTCTAATGAGGAGATAAAGTTTGCGTTGTTTCAAAATGCATCATATGAAAGCTCCAGGACCAGATGGAATGTCTCCATGTTTCTATCAAAAGCATTGGGCAATTGTTGGCGAGGACGTTTGCAATGGGGTAAGATCGTTATTATCTTCCGGAGTTATGTTGTGGAAATTAAATTACACTCATGTCACTTTAATTCCTAAGAACAAAGATCCTACTGTGATGACAGAAGTGCACCCAATTAGCTTGTGCAATGTAATTTATAAAGTCTACTCTAAAGTGCTTACTAACCGTTTGAAACGGATTTTGCCGGAAATTATTTCTCCATCACAAAGTGTTTTTGTTCCATGAAGATTAATCTAGGATAACAACATGGTTGCATCCGAAATTGCCCATTATATGCATAAGAAATCTAGTTGTTGGGATGAAATTATGGCACTGAAATTGGATATTAGTAAGGCCTACGATCGTATAGAATGGAGTTTTTAGAGCAAATGATGAGAAAACTGGGTTTCGACGAGGCATGGATCAATCTAATCATGATGTGTGTTACAACAAAGTCGTATTCATTTAAATTAAGTGGGCAGCCCATGGGATATGTTCATCCAGAAAGAGGAATTCGACAAGGTGATCCCCTTTCGCCATTTCTGTTTGTCTTATATGTGAAGGGTTTATCATCACTGTTTGATGCATGCGAGAGAACGGGAAGAATTAGAAGGGTCAAAGTTTGTAAAGAGGCGCCAAGTGTGCACCACTTACTATTTGCATTCGATAGTTTCATATTTGCTTGGGGCACTCTTCAGGAGTGCATCCAAGTGAAACAATTATTAAAACATATGAAGAAGCATCTGGCCAAGCTATTAACCACTTGAAGAGTTGTGTGGCGTTCAGTGGAAACCTTACTGATTGTGATGGACAACTACTAACGAATTGCTTGGGCATGGCCCGAGTGAAATACCACGATCGTTATTTGGGGCTTCCGGTCTTTGTGGGGAAGGCGAAGAAAGAAGCGTTTGCCTACATTAAGGATAGACTATGGAAAGAGCTTAATGGTTGGCGAGGGAGTCTTTTGAGTAGTGCAGGAAAAGAAATTTTGATCAAGAGCGTTGCTCGAGTGGTGCCATCGTACACTATGCAAACATTTTTGTTACCAAAGCCTCTTTGTGATGAATTGAATCAAATGGTAGCAAAATTTTGGTAGGGGAGACAACAAGGTCGAAGGAGAATACATTGGATTCGTTGGAGAAAACTATGTAAGCCAAAAATAGAAGGTGGGCTGGGTTTCAAGGATCTTTATACTTTCAATCTTGCGTTGTTAGCAAAGTAGGGATGGAGGCTCTTAATTTTTTAAAGTTCTTAGTCCCATACCAATGAGAATGGATCACAATCCCAAAGTTAGCAGGTTGATTACTGAGGATGGAAGTCCATCGTGGAAAATGGAAGCAATACATAACCTATTTGTCGAGGAAGAGGTAGCACTAATCAAACGCATCCCTCTTAGCATGTTCAATACGGATGATATCTTAATATGGAATGCGGAGTCAAATGGAAAGTTTACAACGAGGAGTGCATACCATTTGGCACGGTATAGTGGGGAAGTAGACGGGAATGAACCTAGTGGTTCGATAATGGCTGCGGAGGTCAAATTTTTGTGGAAAGCGATATGAAGAGCTCACTTGCTGGGAAGGTAAAAATATGTGCGTAAAGATGTTGCATGAATGCATTACCGACAAGGTACAACTTGAGGAAAAAGAAATTAAATATCCCGACAAGGTGTTTGTTTTGTGACGGGGATGTGGAAACGGTTGATCACGTGATGAGGTTCTGTCCCCGTGCGATGGTGGTGTGGTTTTCTAGTCCGCTGGGTATCAGAAGCCAAGGGGATAGGCGACAGAGCTTGATGGAATGGATAACCGCCATTGCAGGTTCGATGTCGAGGGAGAGTTTTGACTTGGTAATGGTTTTAATTTGTTGCATATGGACAGAACGTAATGCAATGTTGTGGCATGGAAAGGCTCTGGAGCCTTCAGAAATGCACTGTACAGTGCAGACATGGCTACATGAATTCCATAAGTGGCATGGGCCGGGGAAGAACACCAATGTGGTCACTGGCAGCCATGGAAGCCGCCAGAAAATGGGTGGATTAAAAGTAATTTGGAGGAGTGGGGGTAGTGATACGGAACGGCAAATGGGAGTTCATGGCTGTACTAGCAATGAGAGCTGAGGGAATTGGTTCTCCATTGTTGGCAGAGATTATGGCAGCAAGGGCAGCAGTGATTTTTTCACAACACCAGCAGACTACACACGTGGAAGTTGAAGGGGATGCACTGATGGTGACCACGGCACTTCAACATGAGGGCCTAAAGGATTCATCTCCTTTTGGGCACATTATTGCAGATACTAGACATATTTTAAATGGTTTTTCTTAGTGCAAGGTTACATTTGGCCGACGCTCGACGAACAAGGTGGCACATAGGTTGGCTAGATTGAGTTTAGCCCTTGATACTCTGATAGTTTGGTTCGAGGAACCTCCTGATGTATGCACCCTATCATGTTTGTACGTATTCAATTTCCTATCGATGAAAATCGTACCGTCACTCAAAAAAAACACTTCCACATGAACTCTTACCCTAATTACAACTCTTCTCATTATCTTTTATTGTCGTTATAATATCATTTAAAAACCATTAAATTTGGAGACCATTATGAACAATTATCTAACAAATAAAATAATATTCTCGTTATGGAGCAGCAATCAAATGATTTGCACGAAGAAATGTTGTCACATTGTCATTGAATAAAGAATGATTCATCATCGTTAATGTAAGAATCAAGCAATACCCCTTTTTTCGCCAACATTTGAAGTAAGAATCATTCTAAATTAGTCATACTGCACTTTTAACATCTGAAGTCCAACATTTGAAGTAACTACGACTACGAGCAAGGATTGGACACGAACAACTGTCTCTAGCAAAATACTTCATGCACAAGGATTGGAAATTTTTCGAATTCGTTTGAACGATTTGAACATAATGACGGGTTTTTACACGATTGCTAAACAGATTATCATCTGATATAGCCAACATTCTGGCTCCACACAGAACGATCAACAATGTTAAAGCCACCTAAAGAGTTTCCAACAAGAACGACATCAGTTTATACATATAGCTAACATCGAAAACAAAATAGTAGGCAAGCGAGGGATATGAGGATGCATAAAGTACGCGCCTGTTATCTATCATTCAATCTAATCCAGAACTATGATACAGTACAGACATACAAGCTCTAATGAGACACCTCCCAAAAAAGACTCACCCGAAAAACAAAACTTGAAAAATATCAGCTACGATACGTGTACACAATCAAATCCCACACCCTGATCTACTGATGCAATATACCTTCAAGTCAACTGTAAATCTTCCACACATGCCATCAGAAAGAAGCAAACATCATCTGAAAATATAAGACAAGGAAATCGTACATTAGTCCTCAGAAAAATGTCAAATGCAATTACAACAGTCATGAAGGAGCTAAGGCTTTCCACTTACCTAACAATCAGCAAAATAAAGTGATTTGGTTGGTCCCGTCAGCCAGCTGCAGCTGATTGTCAACCAGATGAGCAGAGACGACTAATGAACGAAAAATTAGTTTGATCATGTCACGAATTCCGATCGCATTTGCTTCAACTCGTATGGACTAGCTTGTTTTCTACGTACTAGGACGCAACTGGCTATAAAACTCAGTGAAGTCAAGCCGAAACAGGAGGAACTTTAAATCAACATGTTGTTGCATGGGTAACTTGGAAATAAAATCCTCAAGCAATGATGAATATTCTTTTGATAGTGTGTCTAAATCTTGTCCCATATTCCGAAGAAATTCACCAGCACGTTGTGTGAGGGCTTTCCTGCCTTCACTAATCCAGGATCCAGGCTCTGAGGACCTATCATTTGATCGCTTTTTAGTTTTACTCTTGTCTCGAGAGGGTAAAGAGGATTCCATGGTTCTGCAATAAACAATCTGAGACATTAGTTTATCAATAAAAGAAAACATAAGAAAAACAAAAGAAACAAGAAATGAGATAGCAGTTTTTTGGTTCACAAACAGTGATCATAGAAAAAGAATAGTACCTTGCTTGCAACTCATTAATCCCTTCAGACAATCGATCTGCATGACTTCGGAATTTCAGTATAAGATCAAACAAGGCAAAGAGTGAATTGTAAAGGGTTTGGGACCGTTCTCCAAGGAGAGATTTCTCCACAATTGAATGGAGGTACTTTTCATGTGCAGCAAGTAGATCATCAAGGTCCTTGGCCACCTCCATTTCGTCCAAGAAATGGGACCAGGACACCTCCAAGACTTCAAACATGATATAGTACTGCAAGTTTGAGACAAAATGATTCATTTCATCCCAAAGAACCTGGCATCGTCTGAGAGTTGAAAGTAACTGCAACTTAACTGCATGGGGAAGCTTCATAAATGAACGAGAGGTGATACAATTTGGCTTCATTGTCTTCCAAATACCAATAAGGGCATGCTCTACTCGCCGAAGCTTCCACAAGAAATTAAAAATTCTTAAATACTTTGTCATCACAGACTCTGTAAAAACAGTATCTAAAGGAACCCTTGCATCATATTCCAATGAAAACACATCCCAGCCCCTATCTCCGGTTCCATGTGGCATCATCTTTACCTTCAACCTATCCAATATGTCACGATCATCATACTGAGCATTAGATGCTCGGATTGCAGTTTCAAGCAATCCAGCTAGCTGAAAAGAGCTTATAGTGTTAGCAGGTTCAGAGAGCTCAGGCCCAACAATATCCATTAGATACTGAACAAAGTCACCCTGTCCAAGGAGTAAATACCGCTTTATTGCAAGACAGTGCTCCTTGAACTTATACTGGTTGTAAATAACATCCAACAAATGCTTATCAACTCTCTTTGCTGCTCCATCCACCAAAGACTCAAGAGCATCACTTTCACCATATCCAAGACCCCATCTTCTTGTCGTGGTACCAGCAGCAGCTGCAGCTTCTGTTGCAGCATCAGCCCAACCACGATCCTCACAACAGACACGAAGGAAATTGATTGACTTGCCTGTCCTCAGGATGCGTTGAGCAAGAGATTGTGAAATAAAAGAAGGAAGCATTCCGGCATGGAGCATGTAACCCTCCCTCCAAAGGGACTCAGCTTTCACTGGCTGGCCCACTACAAAGAATTCTGCAAAAACATCCTCTAACTCCCCTTCCAAAACCCAACTCCTCACCATCTCAAATAGAGGAGAACACACCCTCCGAAGTAAACGTCCCATGAACTCGTGCACCAATGGGTCACCATGCTGGGCATGCAAATGAATAGCCCCAGCCATTGCCCCACCTCTTAAGACCCTACATTTATCAACCAAAACAGCCATCAACCGCATTTTCACCATTGGCTCGGCAAACCAAACAGACAACCTCCTCAGCGAAAGATAATTCCCTGAGCTCGCTGTCTCTGAAACCAAAGGAATCGGATTCATCGACTGTGCTTCAAGCACTGCCAACAACTTATAATAATCGGAGAGCTCATCTTGCAATGCAGCACAAAAGGCCTGCCCGACGGTTCCAACGTCTTCAGATGGAAACCCATCCATACTCTCTGAAATATACCCTTTAACCTTCCTAAACAACCACCCCAATTCACAAAGCTTCCGAACCATAATGCGGGTTGCTCTAGGCACCTTAATCAGATCAGATAAAGCATAACCATCAGCACTACTATCAAACTTCACATACTTTCCATCAATTCCTTGGCAGGCATACAACACATCTCTCACCAAAACCTCTTCAGAAACTTCATTCTCTTCTTTAATCAAATTCACATACTCCCTAAACGCAATTTCGCGAAGATTTTCCGGGTCTTTAGAAACCAACAAAACCCCATTATTCCAACCCTTTTCCTTATTTCCCCTACCCACCAAAACCCTCGATTCCTTCCCCGATTCGGCATCATTAAACCCCAAATTCGGCAACAAAACCGAAGAATCCAACTGTGTCTTGCCATTTTTCCGATCCTCCGATATAATTTTAAGCAAATAAACGACTGCCCATTTGTTATTTACACTCCCCGGTCCGGTTTTCGACGCGAATTTGGTATAAAGGTCGGCAAAAGTGAGAGCTTGCGAGGACTTACCTTGAGTGGCGAGGCGGCGCTTGGTGGACTCGGCTATGGCGGCGGCGTCGGGAGCCACGGACGGATTTAATCGGCTGGAGATCAACCGGAAAGCGTAGCGAAGCGAGCTCTGGAATTCCGGGGTGTTTGGAGTCGGTGGGTGAGATTCAGAATTGGGGTTTTGGGAGCGGAGGCGGATGACGAGCTCTTTGATCAGATCTGCAACTTTTTGCTGGTCTTCTTCCTCCATTGGTGAGAGAGGAAGGTCGAAGTGGGAAGGGGAGAGTGGGGATCTTGCGAGTGTGGGAGTGATTTGGAGAAGGTGAGACTGTTGAGTGTGACTGCAGGGTTTTTGATTTGTTGGGCGCGGAAATGGGGTTTTCTTCTTTTTCGTTTTATTATCGAAAGACACCCTCTTCTTTTTGGGAAAACATAAGTGCACCATCATCATGAAGACGAATACAAAACTAATTATTATTAAGAATTTTAACGAAAAATTTTCGATACTATTTATTTTAACGAAAAAATATATTTTTATACTAAAAAGTCAATTTTGGTACTATTTATTTTACCCTTTATTTTGTCTTTATCGTTAAAACTCAAAATTTTCAAACAATTTTTATTAGTTTTCCTATAATTCTTTCACATTTTTAACAATTCCCAACTAAAACAACAATGTTATGATTTTTCTAGAATTATTAACTAAAAAAAATTTCTCTAATACTTTGTTTTGCTAGAAAAGCAAATATAGGTCCTGGATTTTGTGGTCAACACTAGTTATAAAATTTGCAAGAAAATTTATTTCATGGTAGATATGAGTCTAGAAAATTCGAGTAAATCGTAAGCCTATGCAGTCAATGATAAGCTTCGAGTCACCTTCAAGGATCCCTTTGGCCATTGCAAACTTCAAGGCATCTCTTATGCCTTGCCCTCTTCTTCTTGAACCGTTGGAGATGTTTGTTTGGGTTGGAGAGCAAATTTAAGGCCCTTACCTTTATATTGCACCAACAGGTGAAGATGCTCTTAAAGCAAATGTCTTTGTCAAAAATAATATGCAATAAGATAAGCAAAAGAATACAAGTTAACACATAAGAGGGAGTATCATAAAAGCCCCATGCTTTTTCTTCATTGGAACACCCTCTAAAAGATTGGTTAAACTCTATGTGGATATGGATAGAGAGTAGGAAATGGTCACTTAATATTATCACAGCATACGGCGTTAAGAATTCTTTTAGACCTTGACAAGCTGGGTTTTGTGTTAAATTCGGACCAAGTGTGATTCTCCAATGCTAAAATTTTGGAGTATCTTTTTAGGATTGCAGCTAGCTTAAATTTTTCTATGTACAATGTCACATGTAACCTCCTGAAAAGGGGGAACAATGTTCATGTTTTATCAGCTTCCAACTAGAAAGGCAAGTCCTTGCCATTGCTCCAAGGAAATTGGGTTTAGTAAATGTTTTTATAGAGGAAAGGAACTACATGTTTAGACCATCTTCAACTTTAGAGTTAAAATCTAAAATTTAGGTTTTAGACTAACCCAATCCTTCTCCAATGGTTGGGCCTAAAATAAGTTTTGGGTTAAAACACAAAATTTGGGCAAATTTAACTCATAATTCCGTCCAAGGTTAAAATAATGGCCCACCTTAATTTTAATTTTAAAATTAAATACATTGAATTCAAATGCTGAGATCGAATATGATCAAATATAATAGTAGAAAAAAGATCTAACGACCCAAAATTAAATCCAATAGCTAAAACAATTTATAAATTATTTAAATCAAAATTCACCCAAAAACTCTATAAATACATGTTTCATGGGGTCGGTTTAATGAATTTTCAACTTTTATCGGAATCTAAATATTTTTAGGTTAAAATGTTCATAAAATAAATTATGATAATCTACATTAATTTATTTTGAAAAAATGTTACCAAAAAAAAATTATCCTAAATTCATTCTTTAATAATCTAAGGTTAAAATTTTGTGACACACTCCGACCCGGAATGTCCAATAGGACTCCCCTCCGAATCGAGCTGTGCTGGCCGACACCTGGAAGGTGACGAAGCCATAAAGTGTAGTGATGTGGAAAATGTGAATAAATTTAAACCTAAAAGTACCTAAAGACAAGAGTGCGCTGTGAGCGGGAATGAACTCATTTCACACGCGACGTCAGAGTATAAGTAAAGTACAGTAATGTGGGTAAGGATCATACCCTTAGAGGTAGCCACATATACTGAGATTTTCCAAGAATCATCGTCGATACGAACTTTCAGTAACTAAAACCTGGAGAGGTGAAAAACAAGGGTGAGTGGGTCTGAAAATAAAGTTTTAATAAAAACCTTTTGAAAATGTTATAACCTTTCGCTGTAAAACCCGTATAATTTTCCGAAAAATAATAATACATACATATATATAAATCAGGCTTAAGAGCAATGAAAGTCAAAGTATGTGCCATGTCAAGTATCTCAATAATAAATATGTAAGTCAAGTGCTGTGAATCAATATAAAATGATATGTCAGCCGAAGTCACCTAACGTAACCTATACGGCTGAACCTATAGTTCATTAACCAATTCCTGCACATGAGTCGGAACCAACTAATGTGGTTTGTACGATAGGCTGGGTGTAAATAGATACGCTCAAGTGCTATGATCATGTGAAAGCTGTGCGAAGTATCGCAAGTCACCTACGAGTCGGAACCACCTAATGTGGTCTGTACGACAGGCTGGCACTTGCCTTGGATCCAAGGTGAGCGTGTGGTGCGGGAGGTGAACGATCATGTGAAGGCTAGGCCTTGGCCTCTAGCGGAGTACTAACACCGGGGTGCAGGATAATGAGCATTAAATGCATCTATATATAACCATACACATTGCATTCACTATCATCAATATGCACTTACCTGAAGCTTACCTGGGCGTCCGCAGTGTTATGCAATAATATGCATATCTATACTAATGCATATACTAAAATGTAATGCAATTGACATGGCATTTAAAAACGTAAATCCATTTTAAACCATTTTTAGGAAAATGGAAAACACGTATATATACGTATATATAGAAAACCGAAAGCCCACTCACCTGGAGTCTGCGCTACAACTCCCTAGCACAAAAATTAAGGCGTCACGAACGATCGGCGCCTAGAACAATTATCAAATCATGTCTTATAATTCTTATCAATATAACATGTAACTTATATATCCTATTCGGAAAGATCCATAAGTCGGATTCCCAATCCGTAAGTTTCTAATATCCTCAAATATTATGTACTATAACATATCAAAGTTTAGTGACGATCCAATGGTCGAATCGATGATTGCTATAATAATCGAGTGGCAGACCTTAATGGAACTAGGTTCAAACGACGGAAATTAGTCAATCGGACTTTACATACGAAATTGGAGAATCAAATTTAACCTAGGAATGTTAGGGGATGCCTCTGCCCACGCGCCTCCGCAGGTGGCGGTCGCCCATCCCGACTCGCCGGAAAATTCAACTATTTCTAAAAATTCTCAAACTTCACAGAAATGAAGATCTCAATGAGGAGAGCAACTTTCATACCTGTGACCAAGGCCAATTTGGCCGGGAAAAGCCCCAATTTCACAAAAACACGTCGGCACCCTGGAAATGAGTAGTTCTTGATTCAACTCCAAACAAACACTGATGCCTCAACCAATGCGTGGGCTTTGTTCCAGACCTCAGGGGGAGTCTAATGGTGGTAATAATTGCAAGAACATATTTCAGATTTGGTGGATCTCGGCCACGGGTCTCACGGCACCCACGGGCTCCTTTCTTCCCAATTCTGAACCTAATCTCCTCAAATTTGATATAGAAATGGTAGAAGAAAGGTCTATATGATGGTTGGGAGTGGTAAATCTACCCAATCCATCGGAAAAATGATGAATTTCGCTGGAGAAACCTATGGGTCGCAGCCGGGTTTGCGAGTTAAAGGGAATCCAGTTTGGTTCCCTTTTTCTTCCTCTTTTCTCCTTTCCTTCCTTTCTCTCTTCTCTGATTGGTAACTCTCTCATCTCTCATTTCCTCATTGGTCCGTTTCCCCCCTCCTTTCTCTCATTTATCTTCCATCTGCACCGATATCTCTCTTTTCTTTTAATCTGGGCCATACACATGGCTTTCCAGATTTTGCTCCAAAAATCTGGAGCTTTCTTGAACTTTATTAATTTACTAAAATGCCCCTAACTTAAAAAGTTAATATCTCCTTCGTTATAATTCCAAACTGCACTCCGTTTGCGCTTACGCGTCCGTAACGACGAGTACTACGAAGATACACCAAGAAAATGAATCTTACATAACTCGACAAGGCGGTCAACAAAAGTCAATGCATTTGCCTTGAAGGGCATTTTCAAAATTTCACATTTAAAAATTTATAGACTGTAACTTTTGGGGACGGGTTGTTACATTTTAACCTATAACCATTGGAATAGAAAAATTGTTTCTATGTTAAAACTTAAAAAAAATTTAGTACATCGATATTTTTACACTAGGGGGAAGTTCAGCTAAGCTACACAATGGGTAGCCTAATTTGGTATGAGATTTGAACCTAAGATCTCTCACCTTCAAAAGAAGAGGAATACCACCAAACTGTAGTATTGAGTGGCACAAATTTAGGTTTTAACCCCAAGTATTAGAGTTGGTCCTAGCACTGAAGGTTGCTGATGCACAAAATCAGTGAAGACTTTGGAACAACATAAAATGTCAAGTTTGTGACCTTCGCTCAGTTGCTTCGGTCGCCTAGTGATGCTAATGTGTAAAGAGATAGAGATAGGGAAGCAAACACAAGATGTACATGGTTCACCCTAAGTCTGGCTATGTCCACTGAGTAAAGGAGTTTTCATTAATAGTGAAGAGTTTACACAAATACACAAGTTTAAGCATAATCATCATTAGTAGGTTCTAATGACCAGTTTAAGTACAATAATGACATTCGGGATCAATTGTAGGAGAATGGTCTTCTTTTATAATTGAGGAGAGTCTCTGGCTTTCGTCCGCGATCGATGTGGGACTCTAGGAGCTTTATTTTGATGTTGACACGTGTCGTGCTGTGATTGGCCTCTCGGTTTGAAGGAGACTGTTATGCTTCGACATGAACCCCTTAGTGGATCTTGAAGATATGACGTTGACCAGTGCTTGGTAGTTTCGGAATTGGTCAAGTATGGTATAAACAGTGCTCCCCTAGGTTCCTGAGTGAGGAAAATTTCTCGGTTGGGGACTTGTAAAAATTCAAGTCACTGCGTAATCACGAAATTTCTAAGCACCGGAATGTAATAGCATATAGTGGGAGTCCCCTAAGTCTCCAAGCGAGGAGAGTTGCCGAATGAGGTGTCTTGCTAGTAGCCAATTTGTCAAAATAACAAAGTTTCACCTTTTTTCTTTTCTAAGTGAATAA